TGCTGTAACTTACACTTCCCCAGCCTGAATTCTGCTTGCATCCCGCCTGAAACCCCCCTACCTGCATTTCGCTCCCTGGGATAGGAACTGGAGGGGTCTGGGTCTTCAGGACGCTTGCTCAATTTTTCCTGCGTCAGCGATAGCTGCATTTTGCAGTCAGCCTTCCCTTGGGTTTGCTGCTTTGCAGAAGCGGTCTGAGTGCCACACGCACAAAAACCCAAACCCCTCAAGATGTGGTTGAGTAGCAGGATCACTCAAAACCAGCCAGCCCAATGGCAGCGCCAGTCCCTCTTTGTTGTCCTATTACTGTCGTTCACCCTCCAATAATCCAGCCAGAGCTCTTTTCCTGGGGCACAGCACTGGCTGGCTTTCAGGTGGGGTTACTCTCCTTCCTCCACCTGCACAGATCCTTCCACACCTGCACGCAGCAGCGTGCCCGACGCACACGGGCCTGTGTGCACGCTCCCTCCCCGTAAGCTCATCCTGCACCTCCGCCGTCACACCAACGTGTTGGGAAGTAACTTCTGCTGCGCAGAGTGTGCATTATTTCAGCGGGGAGAGCTACGTTAGCACCCGGGACAGCGAGGTAAAAGGTTTCCTAGGTCACGGAGAGTCGACGGCGCGGCGCGGGCACCCGTCAGGCACTGCTTATGTGCAGCCCAGCCCGTGCTCCTGGGAGCTTCGCCGCCTGTCACCTGGGCAGCACAGCTCTGAAGGAGCAATTAAATTTTATACTGTGGTTGCAAAGTAGGAATAACATGCAAAATGGGATTAAGTCTTAATGTGATCTCATATCCAAGCTAGTCCCGGACCACCTAGTAATGTCAGTGAGAAAGTTCTAAGTATTATTACTATTAAAAAAAAAATAAAAAAAAATGCACTGCACTTCAAAGGGAAAGCAAACCACAACAACTATGCTGGTGATGTTACGGACATGCTGTACGCCCAGTAAATCAAAGTGTAACGAACTACATTTTCAGTGTCTTCCGCTGGCCCCCCGAGTTATTTCCTGAATCTCTGAATGGGCTGCCACGGCCTCGGCTGGGCAGAGGCGCGTGGTGCCAGCGGTCACCGCGGCTCCATCTCCAGGGCAGCGGCTTTTGTGTGAGAGGCGAGGGGGCCTCTGCGCCTGCAAAGAGCTTCTCAAGCAGTGATGGAAATTCTCAAGGGGAAACCAACAATGAAAATAAATCCAGACTGGAAATTACTTCAGATGCAAGCAAAGGCAAAGGAGATTTGTGCTGCGAATGCCAGTCCCGCTTTTTCCCCCCAGGTGTGAGCTGCACTGAATTCACCCAGGCTCTGATGCCCAGCGCTCCCTGGGGGTACGGTCACGTTGCAAGCACAATTTTGATACCCCTTAGGCAGTTCTCGGAAGCTGTGAAGTTGGCGCTCCCTTCAGACTTAGTAGGGTTTGGAGGCAACATCCCAGTAACTATGAACTCAAGCTGAGAGTAGCAACAACCCCCTACCCTACACGCCTCCTTAGATTCCAATGTAAGGAAAAATCTGGGGGAGGCATTTTGAATTGAATCGGGGAAACATGGGACTGAATGAAGTGTGCATGCAAATCACAACATCCTCTAGACATTTTGTTCCTGTTTTTCTCTGCAGCTAGTGTTACCCGTTAAGCATGCCAGTCTCTGCAGGGCTGCAACCCAGCCCTCCTGTCTCGCATCTGGGACAGACAGCACGCTACCCACCCCGCCGCCCCAACCTTTTCAAGACTCTCCTCAGATCTGTGCGACAGCCCTCATCTGACCGAGGCACCCGTGCAGCCAACCTGCAAGCACGTACTCCCCTGAAGGCCTGCGAAAAGCAGTGGGAAGTTAAGGGCATCCTGAAGCGTGGTGCTGAGCGAGGCCTAAAGCCCTGCAGCCCCACACTGACACACGCCGGGTCGCCGATTCCTCGAGCCTCGGGTAAAGTGCTGCCAAGCTGCCGGCAATGTGCAGCCAAAGCGGCTGATCCCGCTACGGGAACAACCTTCTACTCGCAACTTCTATGTCTTAAAGCCTTTTTGTTCTCAAACAAGCAATGGTCTTCCTTGCCTGTCCCGTTACTGCAACTCAAAGGAAACTCCACTGGAAGAAAGCAGAGTTAGACGAGAGCCACTGAAATGATACTACAGAAAGTTTTACCCCTTTGGTTCTGCAGGAAGATAGATAGTCCAGCACCAGACAGCATACACAGCTAAAATGGCATGCAGAAAGTGTACCAGATCACTAATTCACAAAGCACTGTTTGCCTTAAAGAAATCACATGGAAGAAAGTAATTTTTCTTTAACGTGATGGTAATTCAAAGCTTTCTCTGGCACAGAAGCGGATGATCTGCACCAGAAGAAAAAAAACGCAGCCGATGAAGTGAAGTATCATCATCCACCCAAGCTGTTTTTCTCCACCCTCCTTGACTAGAAACGCATTTCCGAGTCAGCAACAGCTTCTCTAGCACAGCATCTCTAGTTTCACACCAATTTACAACTACGCCATTTTTGAACACAAAACCTATGTCTAACTTGAGGTAGTTACCAGTCACCAAAAAGAAAACCACGTTTCTTCTCGAAAGGTGCAATTATCTAGGCTCTGGCTCTAAAGATATTGCAAAGGAGATTTATTTCCCATTAGCTGTCAAAACCACAGTAGTGCCATACTTATAGAAGTACTTAAACAGAAGTGAAACCATAGATGTTTGTGGCACAGCAGTTTGCTCTTCACAGTGGTTTAAAATTTATGCCAGCAGTTTATTATTTAAATGTATTTTCCTTAGGTGAATACAACAGAGCTGCTGCATTTGAGTTACGAAGCAATGCTGAAGAAGAATTAAGAATTACACAGTTAAATTGTGTATTATCATGTAAATGGAAAAGGAATGTCACGTGGGACTCGGTGCATTGTTCGGAGAGATAAATGCAGTGAACTATAAATACAAGTTCGATAGAGTGCCCTGTCAGTTAAGCAGTTAGATGAAAGCAAGTCTTGGGAGCTACTGGGTACATTTTAAAATAAGTACTCATACACACAGTTTCAATATCTAATACAGCTAACTAATCAGCCACTACTTTTGTTCGTAAAACTGCCGTCTTGTCCTATGAAAAAACAAAGAAGGGAAACACCGTAATGGCCAAAGATAACTGTCTTTATGTGAGGTTTAATCTACATAAATTATTATTATGTAATAATTTATAAGAATTTATGTTATAATTTATAATAAAAGCCCTCCTGCAGGTCTGAAGGCACGGCCCTGGGTTCGGGGGAGGGTGAGCGCCTGACACACTGAAGACAGCACCTACATGCACAGCGGCTGCTGAGCACGCTGCTGCCTTTGTCCAGAGAGGTGCCTGTCCAGATGTAAAAGAGATTATGCTGCTGTTTGATTATAGCAGGATACATACTGGCGTTTGGGGTTTAAAGAGGATTAGTTTGTCCTTTGTCCCTATCCAGGCTTCATTTTGAGCCATAAACGGCCTCTTCTATGAATACTGGTACATGTTAAAAAGCAAACAAGAGGTGCAGATATTTTGTTTTGTACGCCCGGTGCTACTGCTTCGCCCTATCTAGAACAAAATTTTTGTAGGAAAAAACCCAACTATTTTAGCAAGGCTGAAAAGCTTTCCCGTTCTCCAATTCTGCCTCAACCCTCCCATTGCAAAGACAAGTAAAATGGGAAGAGAAGACCGAGTACCAATACAACCACCCACCACCTCCGGAGACAGTAAATGCTTGACGTGACCTGTATGGAGAGGCTGGTGACTGGTGCCAGCACACAAAGAGGCTGACGTGACGGCAGCTAAGCCCACACCATCTCTATCGGTTTGCTGAAACCAACTGCTTCAATTTTCGCAGTGCGAGTCAAGGCAGTTCATTTCAGGCTTTAAAAAACGGACAAAAAAGTCTATTCAGCTGAAGTATGCAATAGTCACATTATTTGAGAGCTTTTGCCCTTTCAAGCGACAGATACATCTAGGAAAAAAAAGCAAGAGAGAAGGGCAGGGTGTGAAAGTTTAACTCTATCCCTCCTCGCCTCAGAGGGGACGAGTAAAAGTCCATTCGTGGTGGTGGAGCGTGAAGCTGGGAAGAGGCGCCTCCGCTGCCCGTCGGGGAGGACCGAGGAGGCGCGCACTTCCCTGTCAAAGCTCAGGCAAACATTCAGGACAAAGAAGGCAAAACATTAACAGACTTTACTGAAATATCAGTTTCTTTAGTATGTTACAGAAAAAACTTATGAACATATATAATGTACATAAAAGGCAGACTTTGTAAAATAAAAAGGTCTTTTACAAAAAAATCAAAAGTCAAAGTAAAGTGCATGAAACAGTTTTTCCTCCACTTTAACTATTGCATCAAAGTCTTAGCACACAGCAATGTTTTTAAAATCTGGGAGATCCTCTTGTGTCACCCATTAGCCAGTCACTTCACTGGTCAGATGAAATGGCGGCGATTACAAACAAACGCTTAAGAATCAGAACAGCTTTAACCAGATGCATCCACAACAAAGACTAAGAGCTAAGGGAGTACGGGCTTCCTATACACTTGTCATCGACAAGATTTAACAATCAGCAGAAAGGTTCACTCTCGTTAAAGAAAATCAGTAAGAAACAAGCTTCATAAATAGGGCAGTTTTGCTAGTTAGGGGCTCCCCTACTGTGCCATCAGTTCTTGGTCTATGAAAATCGACATTCATACTTAAATATGCTGTTGCAAAAGGAAGAATATATATATATATGTATTAAAAAAAAACCGTCTCCGCCCGCCTCTTTTGGAGGGAGAAGGCAGTCGACCACAATCCAGACAAAGGCGACAGCTTTCCCACGGGGTGCCTCCCGGGGCGGGGGGGGCACCCCGGGTCCGGCAGCTCGCTCCAGATGCGGGGCCCCGTCGGGTTTTGGGGCTCTGGGAGCGGCGCCCCGGGCGCGGAGCTCGGCAGCGGGGCCGCCGCCCCCCCCCCCCCCCGCCCCGCCGGGCGGGCGGCCCCGCGCGGGGGGACGCGGCGGGGCCGGGCGGGCAGAGGGCGCGGCCCCCCCCCCCCCCCACGCGGCCGTCAGAGCGCGGCGGCCCGCGCGCGGCAGTGGGCGATGTGGCGGTGCACGAAGTCGACGCGGGCCTGCAGCAGCTCGGCCTGCCGCTCCGAGAGGAAGCCGAGCCGGGCCCAGAGCGGCTCCCGCGCCCGGTACCGGCGGCGCAGCTCGGCGGCGGCGCTGCGGCGGCGGTGGAGCTCGGCGACGCGCCGCGCCGTGCCCTCGCGGAAGACGCAGACGGAGCGGAGCAGCGGCTCGTTGTAGGGGTCCCACATGGCGAGGAGGCGGTAGCCGTGCACCAGCCCCGCCTCGTTGTCCAGGAAGACGAGCCCGCCGTCGGGCCCGCGGAGCAGGTTGCTGGTGGCGCGGCGCATCACCCGCGGGTCCCACTGCAGGCTGAAGAGGTTGCTGACCAGGCGGTCGAAGTTGGCCGTCAGGTAGTCGAAGAGGATCAGGTCGCTCCACTGCACCAGCTCCACCAGCTGCGCCGGCGGCAGGCCGCCCAGCTCCCCCGCCGACAGCGGCTGCAGCCGCCGGCCGGCGCCCGCCTCGGCGCCCCAGGGCGCGGGGGCCACCACGGCCGTCAGGTTGTCCACCCAGCGCGTCAGGCTGACCACGGCGCCCTCGGCCCAGTGCGAGCCGCGCAGCTCCTCCCGCACCGGCTCCCACTGCCGCCCGCGGGCCTCCACCAGGGCGAGGGCGAGGGGCGGCAGCCGCTCCTGCATGCCCAGCACCCCGGCCAGGTGGTACGAGAGCGCCTCGCCCTGGATCTGCTCCGGGTTGATGCCGTACCGGACGCAGGCGCGGCTCCCGTCCGACAGCCGCGCCAGCCGGTTGGAGCCGCGCCCGCAGCCGCCCCGCTCCAGCGAGGCCACCCGGGCGGCGCGGGCAGCCGCCAGCCACGCCGCCGCCTCCTCCGCCGCGAACCCCGGCGGCACCCGCTCCTCCAGCTCGCGGCTCCAGAAGATGCCCCGCTCCACCGGGGAGCCGCCCCTCTCCTCCCGGCCCGGCGCCGGCACCGCCAGCAGCGCCCGGAAAGTTTTCTGCTCGCCCCGCGGCACCGGCGGCCGGCCCCAGCCCCGCCGCCCCGGGCGCGGCTCCGCCGCCGGCTCCGGCTCCCGCCGCGGCAGCACCGTCCAGAGCCCCGGCAGGGCGCCCAGCAGCACCAGCCCCAGCACGGGCAGCGGCCCCGGCGCAGCCCGCCTCGCCTGCCTCATCCTCCCGCCGCTCTCACGCCGGTGCCGCGGGACGCGGCGGCGGTGCAGTCCCGCCGCTCGGCCGCTGGCGCATGGCCGCGGGCCGGGCCGGGGAGCGGCAGCGGCCGGTGTCGGCGAGCCCCGGCGCAGCCCCCTCCGTGTGCGCCAGCCCCGCCGGCGGCCGCGGGCACCCGCACCACGTGGGGAGCCGGGGCGGCGCGCCCGGCCCGCCCCGTCCCTCGGCGCGGCCCTCCGCTTAAAGCGGCGATGCCCCGCGCGGGGAGCGGGGCCCGCAGCCGGCGGGGAGACCCGGGCGGCGTGGGAGGGGGGGCCGCGCACATCAGCCGGCACGCCTAGGGGGGGAGGGGACGAAGGGGAAGGAGAAGCCGCCCCCCCCCCACCCGAGCCGGGGCACTGGCTCCGGCGGAGCCTCCCGCCCACGGCGGCACGGCGGGGTCGCGCCGCGGTCACCGGCAGATCCACACCCCCTCCGCTCTACCCCTCGCCGCGGGGCCGGCGGCCGGCGGGTTGCGGGCGCAGAGGGCTCGCCCGACGCCGCGCCGTGCACGTGCAGCTCGGGGCACGCGTGGGCACGCACACGAGCAACACCGCGGGGGACTGACTGTGGGCGAGGCGCGGTCGCGAGATACCGCCCCCCCCCCCCCCCCCCCCCCCCCGGAGCGTCACAGCCTCCCGCCGCCCGCGGAGGGGCCCGCCAGTGCGTGTCGCGGCGTGGCCCCGCTTCTCCCGGCATTTCACGCCCCACGAGGGGAAGTTTGAAGCCCGGCGGCGGGGCACGGTCCCGCCCCGCGGGGTTTCCAGCCCGAGGGAGCGCCGGCCAGCACACCGCACGCTCAGGCCCTCGGAGGTCTCTAGGGTGTACGCCGCAAGGTTGGAAGAGCAGCTATTTCTGCCAGTTCCCTGCCCTCCCGAGGCAAGAAAACTCAGCTCTGCTCTTCCCGTATTTTACTGGAGACCTCGCTGGGGAGGAACGTGTTTGTGAGCCGAGTTAGATTAAACACCTCTCCCTTCTTCAATCTGTGCCGTGGCTATCCTCCAAAGCAGTTACTGGAGTTGGGTCAGCGAAGCAGAACCACCGCATACGTACAGATTCTTAAACATTGCAGAAACAATAGCCCCTTCCTTGCTCACCCCCTCAGCTCTCCCTGCTCTCCCGAGATACCCCAACTACTAATTTTCCAACCACACCACAGTCTTCCAGGTTGGATGGAATGCAAGTTATTTACTACAAGAAAAGGGGAATTCTCTCTCTTTTCCGGGATTCGTTTAAAACATTCAAACTCTCCTAACCCGCTGTAACACCTTCCCGAATTCCCCTTTACGCCGGGACTCCAGGGCTCCCCGAGGACGCTGGGGCTGGAAGCTGCCGCCCCCTCCCCGCTCCCCACGCCGCTCCCGCCGCACCAGCTCCTCCCGCCGGTCACGGCGCTCCGCTGCAGCCGGCGGCACCGGCAGGACGGGGCGGGCAGCCAGGCCCCGCCGCCCCAAATCCTGCCCCTCGCCATCCCAAATCCTGCCCCCCGCCGCCCCAAATCCTGCCCCCGCCGCCCCAAATCCTGCCCCCCGCCGCCCCAAATCCTGCCCCCCGCCACCCCAAATCCTGCCCCCCGCCGCCCCAAATCCTGCCCCCCGCCGCCCCAAATCCTGCCCCCTGCCGCCCCAAATCCTGCCCCCCGCGATCCCAAATCCTGCCCCCCGCCGCCCCAAATCCTGCCCCCCGCCATCCCAAATCCTGCCCCCCGCCGCCCCAAATCCTGCCCCCCGCCATCCCAAATCCTGCCCCCCTCCACCCCAAATCCTGCCCCAAATCCTGCCCCCCGCCGCCCCAGCGGGGCGCCCAGGCCGTGGAGATTGACTTGCGGGACGCCCGTGGGAGGTGAAGGGCTGCCTCCCTCCCGGGTGGGAGGGTCTCTCGGCGAGAAACGGCACGGAAGGGAGGCCAGGACGCGTCAAAAATCGTGGCCGATGCCTTTTCTAACAAGACGACCTCGCATCTAATTGCGACTGGTGTGACTGGGCGCGTTAGTGCTGTTGGGTCCCCTGGGCACGTAGGGGCTTGCTGAAATAAAAATGAGAAATAGTCACCATCCTGTCTTCCCTCAACACAAGCTAGAATTGTCCCTCTTGCTACCCACAAATTCAGGTCTGGTGCGACCCTGACCCCGACGCCTCGCTGCCGGGTGGCCCGTTAGGCTTTTGCCCTCTGAAGCCTCAGGGGCTGCACCGATGGCACCAGTTGTGTGACCTGGCGCTGGGTATCTCCACCGTTCCCAGTGCCCGCTAGAACAGTACCAGTACACTGAGCCGGAGGCTTTTATCCAACAGCAGGCTGAATATTTTCACCAAAGAAATGGCACAGAATTGCCTCTGTTCTCTGCCACTTTCCGGCTCGAAATGGCTTTAAGAAAACTCCCAGTTTGTTGGAAAAGGACTGAAAGCAAACAATGAATTTTATTCCATATATAGGTTGGATGTGTATTTTGATTTAAGTGAATTATTTATTTGCCTTTCAGGGTGAATTATGCTTACAGTGAGCATCCAACTGCCAGTACCTGCACTGGGAAGGCCCCCTGGAGAAGTACCATTGGCGTGGATAAGGACACTACATTTTCTGTTATTAAGGTGAATATAAGCTCCAAGTTATGCACGACATTCATTTCAATTACAGCTTGCCTCTTGTAAGCTAAGCAGTTAATCATCAGGCTATATTGTGACTGCACCCTTAAATCAAAATAGGGAAAACAGCATCTCCCCCCAAACACCCAGCCTCCTCACTACACCATTTGGAAGCCGAACAAGCCAGAGTTTTGCTGAGCCATCCCGCTGGCTAATAGTCCTGCTTATAGGTTGGAATATTTTAAAAACCAGACTGGTAGAGGGTTAAACATCAGCCAAGCTGACATGCTGTTCAATTTACAGCATGTTAAGCATTCTTGAAACTGTGATCACTGATATATTTGGGTCAATCAGATGTCTTGTTACTGCTTTGCAGACATTGCAATGAGCAGCTTGGAGATAAAGGAGAACAGTCTCCAGGCTTCTCAGCCCTATACTGGGGAAGGGAGAGCTGGCCACCCTCCAGACCCAGGATCATAGCAAGCAAAAAGATAACAAAATAATTTCTGGCTTCCCTATGTTGTTTCTTACATTAACTTGATTTTAGTTGCCTGACAAAGCCAGGCTTATAGAATACCTAGCTGCTAGTGTTTTGCACTGATTTTAGCCTAGTGAAGGTTTTGTTCTCCCCATTCCCCTCTTGCCTCCCAGTACCCAGCTTCCTGGTGACATGGGGTAGCTGTCACGGCAGGCAGCGGCGATTCCTCCCATCAAAGGCAGAAGAAACGGGGACCGAACAGAGACTTCAGGATTTCTCCTCTGCATTGAAAGCTATTTCGTACTCAAGCCAAACTCTAATGGGTTTTGGTAGGATTAGGATTGTGGGGCTTTACTTTTCTGGCCACAGCTTGTCTGTGCTGGACTTGAGGAGCCCTGCTGGCCAGGCTCACAATCTCTGCTGGGCACAGAAGGCTGGTGAAGCAGGCGCAGGGTGAGTCTCCGTTGCACCAGAGCCCAAAACTATCAACAGCTCCAAAGCACCCAGGGACCCACTGGTGCTCTGCAGGGCAGGAGGGAGCCTCCTCCTGCGGCTGGAGCTGCAGCTGGAAGTGGGGTGCCCACAGCAGGGAGGACAGCTTGGGAGGGCTGCCCCAGCCATGCATAGGCACCCTCTGGCTCAGGCAAGTTCTGGCCTGTGGTAGCATTGCATACCTTCCTCTGACGCTCTCCCACAGCCCAATCCATCCCCACCTTTCAGAGGCATTGCCGTGGAAGGTATTCCCCAGCACAGACCTTTCTGGACTACCAAGATTAGCGTGGGCACACCCACCCACCCACCCACCCACACACACACACACACACACCCACACCCCCACCCCCTTTCCAGGCTCATGGTCATTTCTCTCTCTTCACTAAGCACCGACAGACACTTTCTGTTCATCACTGCGTTGCCAGATCTACCTGGCCTCAACACCAGGTTACTGAGTCTGGTGGCTGCCCCATGAACCCCCACACTGCTGGGGAGGCTGCAGCGGGTGAGCCTGAGCTACTGCTTCGTGGTGACTCTCAGTAGCACAACACGTGGAAGTCCTTCATTTACTCTGAACTGTGGTTTAGGATCCTGGGTGGGGTGGGAATAGGGGCTTTTTACCCCAGTCCAGCATATTTTCTCTAGATTTCACCCTCCTAAGACTTTTTATACAGCTTGTTCTATTTCTATCCAGCATTTCCTCAGCTGTCCCTAAGCAGCTTGTTCCCACCCCTGTTCAGCAGCTTTGGTTCCTGGCAGCGAGCCAGTGCCAGTGAGCTCCCAAACCCCCGACAGCCAATTTTGAAGGGATCCCCGTGATTGCTGTGAGGAGAGGAGCACTGAGCACGTGGTGCAGTGCGTGGGCACGTGTGGAACTGGCGGCTGCCCTGGGGATGTGAAAGCTGCTGCAGACAGGCTGTAGCGGAGTGATGCCCCTGCTTCCTCAGTGCTGCATGTTCCCATCCCTCCACACTTCCCCGCTTTGTGTTTCGAGCCACTGGGTCAATGAAAATGTGGCTCTTGGGAGCCTTCCATCAGGGCAGTATCAGCTCTCCACCTCCCAGAAACCGATACCGGTTGATTTACAGCGCTCCTGCTGATGACAGACTCCTCCTGACACAGCCCCCGCGGTGCCAGCTTTCCTGGCAGCGAGAGCACCTCTCGCTGCCCGTCTGGGATGCCTGAACCTGCAGCCTCCCGCCCAGAGCCCCTCGTCCCTGTGGCCTGTGTGTTTTGATTCTTTCCTTTGCAAGGAAGTTACTTAGACTATCCGGCTAGGGGAGAAGAGTTATGCCTGCAGAACCGTCTAGTACAGATCCAGGGTTGCCATCAAAACAACGCTAATGCCAGTACAGCTCGTTTCTCCTGGGGAAGGGCGGGAATTTTGGAGTAAACTACATTGGCAAAAAGTTAGTGTGCCAAAACTTTATGTGCTTAGTGTCACTATAAGTTGTTTCCACACTAGGAGTGCTTTGTACAAATACATCAGCAACAAAGCCCGTGTATACGCCTGACTATGGCTCTGTCAAGGTGGATTTGTATTTCTCAACCTCATGATGAGATATTCCAGCAACCAAAGGGCAGGATTTAGAGCTGCTTGTGACTGGGGGAGGGCTGAAGAAGTTAAGGTGCTCTGCATTTCATAGCGGGGAGATGAACTTTAGAGACCTTGCCCTGCAGGCGTGTCGGCAAATTACAAACCTGGAAGTATTTACAAACGTGTTTCAGCCTGGAATAGAGAAATCTGGAAGCTTTGCTATTGCTTTGACTCCATAGTTGATTTTGCAGAAAAGCTCCCAGACAGAAGGGACTCTACAAGGATTTTTTTTTTTTTTTTTTTTTTTTTTTTTGTAATCTGAAGCACCATGTAGAACATGAAGCTAGGCAATTTCTGTACACAGAACTGATCCTATCTCCCCTGTACTCTGTAACTTTCTGTTTTTAATATCTGTGACTCTCTGCTTTTAATATCAAAGCAATAAATGAGTAAGTGCTTGAGCTCTTGTGCCTGGCTCTTGAAAGTGTTCATAAGACTTGTCAGGTGCCTGATGATGCTCAGTCAGTTAGGAGATCCGTTCTCATCCTTATTAAAGGTGAACTGCAAGGATAGAAAGAAATCTGTGTTACACTCAGGCTGATGTTCTCAGGGTCTCCAACAAGTAGGCTCTGCAGAACGGCCGTGAAAGAAATATATTGAAATGAGAGGTCAGCAGCATCCTTTATACAAATACAACACAGCCTCTCCAGACAGCTGATGGTTCAGCTGGGAGGATTTTTCATATAAGCAACATTAGGCATGATGGCCTTGCTTTTCATGGCTTGGGGTGAGATCCTTGGCTGATCTGCACTGGCAAAGCTGCGTTCTGGTGAGCGGCTCACTGAAACTTGCAGCATCCACATTAAAACAGTTCTGGGAGGTCGCAGCTCCCTGCTCACCCTGAAATACAGTTCATTCTGGGAGGAAACGCAGTAGCCATTTGTGTCCACCACAAAAAAATAATATTTTTTTTTTTTTTAGGCCAGGAAGTAAAGATGTTCAAGAAACCTCTTCAAGTGAAACTGCTGAAGTCATTTAGGGAGACAAAAGGTAATTACCACATGAAAGGATAAATTATGCAATGGGTACTGGCCTCTGCTTTCAAGCAGGGCTTCCTGGAGGGTCATAGGCCATGGCCTGCAATATTCATGTCATATATGTCAATAACTTTTCTCCTCTCCTCCTTCTGTCTGCCAAAACACATGAGTGAAGAATACTGTTCAATACAGTTCACAGTAATTCCAGGCACCTGCCCTGGTGTAGCACAGCAAGAGAGAGGGGAAACCCAAACTCCATGTCTTTCTAATAGGCAGAAGCTCAAACCACCTTGATGATAGCCCACAGATTTTCTTTCCTTCTGGCTCATCCTGCAAGCCCATGAAATTGTACTTGCAGTAGCATGTACGGTTTGGAGAGATACTGCCTTTAGGTGGAGACTCTCCATCACCTTCTGGTAAACTGGGCCAGGGGTTAAATAGCCTCACTATTAAAAATATCCTCACCTTAATGTGTTCTCCAGGCACTTAGACAGCCCTGTGATGGGCCCAGTTAAAAACTGAGATGGACCAGACATGACTAAAAAAGTGAGGCCAGGCTAAAGGTAGAGTTACTATTGTTACAGGAAGGAAAAAAATGGTCGTAAAATTTAGCTTCTACTTCAAAAATACACCCAGGACACATCTTGAACTTTTCAGCAAGTCCTAAAAAAATGCAGCTTTTGCACTGCCAGTGAAACCGTTCTAATTAGTCTTAAGGTAAAAACCCTGGCTGCGCCAGTGAAAAGCCAGCTGTTCAGCTCTCTCTAAGCGAAGCAGAGAAAAGGACCAGCTTAAATAGCAAACCCGGTTTCCAGGCCCCTAATATCTTCTCTCTGTGGTGTTGTCTGGAGAGGCAGCTGGATTCTTTCCAAGGACAGAGGAGCCCCTCCAGCTGCCAAGAGTGCTGGAGGGGGAAGATGCAGAAGAAAGGAACGGATGAATTCCTCGGACCTTTGCTTTTCTTCCCCCAGCCTTTCCCCTCCTTGAATGCGCCCTCTGCCCCTGCGTGAAGCTGTGAGGTGAGGTGCTGAGAAAGGGGGGGCAGTGTCCCAGTCCTTCTCCTTCCCGCTGTCAGAGGAGGTCCCCTCTGCTCTGTGCCTGCCTGGAGCAGGGTTTCTCAGCCGGGCCCCGTCTCTCACCACGGCAGGCACCCCAGGGAGCCTGTGGCTCGCCCCTCAGGGGCATCCCTGGCCCGGCGCTCAGTGCTGCGCAGTAGCCTGCCGAGCCAGCAGCGCCCACTGCAGCGTCTGCAGCACCCCGAGGGCTCCGCAGATGGGAAGCAAGTCTGCTACTGAGGACAGGTGTGGCCTCACCTCAGGTGTCAGCGGAGTCTTTTTCATCAGGACACACCGAGGCCCTCTTGTTGCTCGCGGGGGACTCTTCCTTTTCCACATTCTCTAGGGTTTTGTTTTGTCCATTTTTAAGGGACTCAGGTGATGAGATTTCCACCCCTCCTAGCTCTATCCAGCAGATGTCTCTGCTGGGAGCATTCAATGTGGCTGCAATTCCTATTGTAATAGTTTTCCTACACATTCCACCTGTTGTGATCAAATTATTGACTGACACTCTCAGTCTTCACTGCAGAAAATTAATAGGGTTTACCTTGATGCATGTAAGGACAGCCAGACTGTCTGAAGGTAAGCCAGCTGAGCCTGGATGTGATTTAGCTGCGTTAGCCCAGGCTCCCTGTCTGAGCTCAGAAGCCCGGGTTCAGGCACAGGAATACTGCCGCACTTGCATGACCAGCCTAAATTAAGACTCAAGTGGCCTTATCAGTTTGGGTCTCTGCAACCGCAGTGATCCCTACACCGCGGTCTGTTCTGCAGAGGAGATGTCCCTCTCAGGATCCCTCCCACTGATGGGGTGAGAGGCAGGAAGCAAATGAACCCCTGTAGACCTAAGTCACGAAGCTGTCCCAGTTTTGAAGGTCCCAGCTCATGATTTTTCTGTGATTGGGGTTGGTGACATTGAGAAGTTTCCCTGCTGTGCGCTCTACATCTTAATGTGACTCATTTAAATTTCTAAGCCTTATTAAATACAGCATTAACATTCAATAAATGTCTCATTGATTACGTATTTACTTATCTTGTATTTAACTAGCATTCTCTTAAGGAATGAATAAAGAGTCAGAAGCAAGCGATAGTTACTTCATGTGATTTAAAAGGAACTGGAAAAGTACCCTTCAGAGGTTAAGGACTGCAGTCAGGAACTGAATCTGCCCAATATCTAAGTGCCATAAACATTTTTATATTCAACAAGCTTTATTAAAAATACCACAATGCTTTTGTTAAATCAAAATGTATTTTAACTCAGAATGAAATCCAAACACTTTATCTACAAATAGGAAAGCCCTTCAGTTACTGCCTAGCTAACCCGGCCCAAAGCAGTACTTGGTTCCTCAGCCTGCAAAGCCGAGGGCTGGCAGCTAAACAGCGCAGCAGTAAGGAGCAACGCCGGTTGGTGGCTGGAGCTTTAGGCTGTAAAACCACAAAATAAAGATATGATTTACGGTTCTACTGTAGCTGGGCTGTATGTTCTACCATGTGCTCTGGTAGGATATGCCTCTTCCACCTTGGTGGGGAAAGAAGCGCAGTTCATCTTCCTCCAAAAGCCTGAGCCAGGTTTAGGACTCCTGACAGCCAACTGAAGAGCTGCGTAAGAGGTTCCATGTTGTGCCTACCACGTGCTGCACAAAGTGTGTCTTTTATCAGGAATGATGAAATACAGAAGCATGAGAGTGAGTCTCTCCCTCAGCCTTTCTTGCATCCAATAGTTTGGCAAAACAAGTGATGTAAATGTTAGTTTCTACAGCTGGCCCTACTGCATTTCGCCTCTGTGACAGCGGGTGAGCCACTTGGCTTGCTTGTGCCCCAGTTTCTCCGCTTGCACAATGGGCCGCTGCGAAGTTATTTGATGATGTCTAAAGAGGTCTTCAAGTTCTCCTTGAGAGCTGGGAAGAGCTGGTGGACACTCAGGAAAGTCAATGCAGTAAAAACTTATTATTTTTGTTGTTGCTCAACAGTGTCATTACATCTAACTCCGGATTTGTGTAGGGCTGTGTCCTTCTCATGGATCTCAAACTAAAGATCAGAAAAAAAATCTAAAAGTTTGGGGGGATAAATGAGCTTCCTTGTCTTCCTGACCGGCTACAGTTTATTTAGTCTTCATCCCTGCTCAGCTCCCCGTGATTGCATTTGAACTTCCCCAGTATGTGGGTGGAGAGGAAGAGCAGCACAGATAATACAGAAAAGAGCTCTTTTTCCTCTGGGGAACCAATCAACATTTTTGTTTTAATTTAGTTCAGTTTCCTTGCAAACGACTTTCTGCCTAGCTGTTGAACTTTCTGTAAACAGTTTAGTGAGAGTCATAAAATAAATCCCCTAAAGAAGAGAAAAATAAACATAGTCATGAGTTACTCTCTCTTCCTCCTGCTGTTCGTCAGCCATCACAGGAGCTGATTTTCCACTGACTCACAAAAAAAAAACAGAGCAGGGAGATAACTGGAGGCAGCACAAACAAAGGCATCATAGAGAATATATACATTTATTTTTTTTTAAGCTTAAAGTCCTGGGTGACTCCGGGCTGGAGAAGCAGCTGCACGGGCACGTGTGCTGCATCAGCCCCCGGCCCCCCACCCGGTTAAGATCACCAGGACCTACCTGCACCCCTCTCTGGCTCCCTGTCCTTACATTAAAGATTTCCTTTAAGGTCCTCTTTAGGATTTTGGAATCACCGACGCAGATACAGGCATTCCAGGCCCCTTCACAAGCTCTGTACCATATGCTTTTTATTCTGGGACAGAACTAGGTGTAAGAAATCCGTTGCATTCTCTAATTGCCCTTTTACACGGTTCCTCAAATTAAGCACCAATATGGAGCAATTCAGCTTTGTAGGGCTTGTATTGCCATGAACCCTCTCAGCGCTCCATACGGCAGTGTTAAGCCGCTGTACGGATGGGCAACCTGAAGCAGTTCCGTAATATGACTTTTGGTGCCCTCACCTCTGCCTGCTAGGGCAAAGGACAACAAGGACGAAGCCTATGTGAAGACCTTGGACCTTCTTTCTGTATATCCTCTCACCGGGAGCTACAGCACTCAGGAGCCCACATGAGGACTCTGAGAGCTTCCTGTATCCTGCTGCCAAAACCAAAGAAAGCACAATATTCGCCAGGTTAAATACGCAGTGTGGGGCTGGTGCTCAGGCTGTGCTTAAGACTACAGGTGCAGCATGCTCAGAGGGGCTCATATTATGAATTCTGCTCAGGAAACAAAATAATATTTAATGTGCAACACTCATTTTAATTGCTTTATTATCTTAAAATGTCAAGGTTGAATGTCCTCATGGTCAAACGCTCTGAAATGTCCAAAGTAGTTAAAATGCTGTCAGTGTACCACTAAGCGTCTTTACTTAAATGCAAGTTATTCTGTGATTTATTGTTTTTAGTAGAGCTTGACAGTCAGAATACCAGCATAGAAGTAAACAGCTTGGTTCTTTCAAGACTTGTCTGTATAGGACTTATTCTCC